TTCCCGGTAACCGGTTTTTGATGTAAATTAAAGGTTTCTGTTTTTATTGTATGTTTATCTGTGTTCACATATTCAAACTGTCAGTCTTGTTGTTACCAAAATAAAAATCAATCAATCAATCAATCAAAGCCTTAACTTACAAATAAAAGCGTAAGGCACCAGACTGATGCTGATTTGTATTAATTAGCGTTTAATAATTATAATATACTACCTTAAAAAAATAATTTTAAAATTTTGTCAACTATGACCGTAGATCATTGTCTCTCATACAATGCAAGAATGACGCTTCTACGTTTTTTTTTGATCGAACTACAGACCGTCGAAAAGAGAGACTAGCAGCTCAAAATTTAATTAGAATCGAAACTGAATTAATTAGTAACACTCTCAATCCTTAAAGAAACTGGACTGGAATTGAATCGGGTTTGAAACTAACCGACATTGAAGATTTCTCGTATTTTCTCTATATTTTTTATTCTTGTAGTACATAAAGAAATGCTCAATATGTTTTGTGTAGAGAACTGAATGAGGCATCCATCTTTTGAAAAAAGACTGAGACTTGGCGATCAACCTTGACAGAGATATTTAGAAAATACTAATAGATTCATTCTTTATGGACTTAGCTGTTTCTGGTATTAACTTTTGATCTTCTATCGTTGTCGCTGTGGTTAATATTGAATGGGGATTAACTGGTTTTGTATCGTATGAAACCGGAAGAGGTGTAACAGTTTTATCGATCAATTTTTGAACAACTAAACGACAAAAAAACTTAAAATCAAAAATTTTGAATTTGCCACTATTGCTTATTTTCTATAAAGAATGAGTGAAAAAGATGCGTTAAGTTTGAATATCATCTGTCAGTCGTATTTCTATTCTTAGAGAACAGTTACTAATACAAACAAAAAGAAAAAGGTGTGTATAAATTTGTTGCTACCTACTTGGAAGTTTAATATTTTGTCCTATTTGTAAAAAGTCATCATTTTTTAATTCAGGATTAGCTGCCTTCATTTCATCTAATGTAATATGATTTGCATTTGCAATCTTGGATAATGTGTCACCTTGTTGTATTTTATAATATGTTGCAAGTGGCACTGCTGGTGAACTATAAAAAGAAAAGAATTCATACAGTTGTCAACGTATGAAATCAAAGTATGTGTATGTACTTACCTTTGAATTTTATTTGACCGTAATACTATGGCTTTTATCATTTCTTCGATTATCTTATTTGGTTTTAATTCAAAATCTTTTAATTCAGTTCCATTAACAGGTGAATTTTTTGATTTTTCAAACCATATCATAATATTCTTACGTTCATATGTATAACCATCGGAAGCAAGAACTACAACATAGTTTTTATTTACTAAGGTGCACTTAATGCAAAAATCGAGCAAAGTGTTGTTGCTAGCTTTTTATACGTCATTGGATAGAGAGCACCGAGCTGATTAAGAAAATGGATTTTTTTCTTATCGAGAAATCGAAAATACTAGAGGGTTTTGTAAAAACTCGCAAAAGTCCTCAGCTTCCTAAGCCACACTTTTTTCGTAATACCACCGGTTACCGACGGGTCTATACATTACCGCTGGTTAACCGTACCGTTTGGTATAACGACCGGTTTAGCGACGGTTTTTTCTTCTACCAGCGGTTACCGCACGGTAGTTTTCAGACCGCGGTACAAGAAAAAGCCGTCGGTCAACTGTTTTGACAAAATCACCTTTTGTTTTGCAGTTGGCAGTCTATATAAGAAACGCAGAAAAGTCAAAGAAATTTGATAATTTTTCCGATTAAACTTTCACTTTCACATCATAGAAACTCGTCGAAATTTGCACTTTGACTTGAGTCAAGTTTTTCCCGTTCGGAAACCTCATTGCGCTGCATGCGCACTGCAAAAAAAAGAAAGCTGAGAACTAGATTCGAACTCTGTACTGTTTGCTCACACTGATAAAATACCGGTTGATACCGCCGGTACACCCGACCGGTATACCGCGCGGTTCGGTAGACCGTATGGTAATTTCACATGTCCATTAGGTTCCCATTATACTCGGCGATATTTTAGCGGTTCTGATAACATGGGTTCTAAATACCTTTAGTACTTCGGCTTTAGACTGTTTTGAAGTCTTCAAACAATCTTTTTTGGATTTAGTGATATAAGCTGAATAGAAAGATGGCGTTCGAGTAATTTTGAATTTATAAATTCGAATGTTGCATTAAGTGCACCTTAATAACTTTAGCTCAGAGTAATGTACTGTATATATACCTGGATCCTGTAATATTTTTTTTGATATTGGATCTGTAATAGCATGCAGCAGATCTTGATCTGATATTCCTCGTATATAATCATATAAATTGGTATCATTTTCACAAGTTATATTGTTGCCAATATTTAATTGTGATAATGATGTTGTTAATGTACTGGTGTCATTTTTACTTAATAAAACATCACCATCTGGATTACGTACAATTTCTACATCGCTTGAACTCGGATGATTACCCACTTCATTTCTTGTCACTGGTGTTTGTAATTTACTTAAATAATTAACAAAATCCTCCCGTTCATTTTCCGAGGCAATATCATAAGCAGTTTTATTATTACCAACAACTAAACTTAGATCAAAATGATATTTTTTATGCAAGTCATCGAATATTTTTGTATCGCCAGTATAAGCCAAATGATGTATCAAATAAAAATATCTATATGGTGGTTTTTCATTTATAATTTCTGGTCTTTCTTGAATTAATTCTTTACATTTCGTCCAATTTGTTTCCTTTGCATAATTTAACATCTCGTCCATTTTTTTTAAACGATTAATTCTTTCAAGCATCGGTCTGGCCTCAGCTATATCCAAAACCGTCTGACCATCGTTAGTTGGCGATAAAATACGAAATTTTGCATTATTGCCTTCTAGAGCCAATAAGCGATCTAATTGATCGACTTTCCCATGATATACAATTTGATGTAGAATTGCCCAACGATGTCCTGGAGGAATCAGTGTCAACCATTCAGGACGTAGTAATATTGCTTGATAAACGTTTTCAAAATCTATATTTTCACGTGCATTTAAGATTGCGGCTGCTAGACGAAATGATTCGTTTTCTGGTTGTGAATGTTGTGACATGATTTTGTACTAATCGAAAACATAAATCGAAAATATTTAGTTATCCAGTTTAACTACTACCTTTTTTACAACCTTTTCAAAACATTTTCTTCTAATTTTTGTTCCCAGTTGTCAGATTCAAGTGTATCTTTAACATAAAAATTACGGTATTCTAATAATGTTGGCTTTCTTTTCTTTTATATATGGCAGACATATAGTTACGACAGATTAATAATGAAGGTAAACATAATTAAATTTGAAAATGTATGTGGTATTGCGACAAAAAAATAAGTGATGACGACATTCTTATGCACAAATAATATTTATCGAACACGTCACAGAACAGGGAAAAAACCAAAACACATTAGAGTTTTCTCTTTTAGCGTATCTTTATGTTTTTCTTGATGTCGCATGTAGATATGTGTATGTCAGACATGAGGATACATACAGAAAAGAAAAGATGATCTGTATGCGACATTAAGAAAAAGATCAGGATACGCTAAAAGAGAAAACTCTATTCTCACAAAAAAGGACAGAGGAGGAGAAGATGTAAAACTGCTGTTAGATCACTGAAGAGTTCAAAAGTAATTTTGAAAAGTTAAAAGTTGAGTTAATTTATAAATCGGGTTGAGATTTATAAATCCGGTATCTTTTTGTTGTTATATAATATAGAGTAAGAAATATAAAGCCGAAAATGTTTTTTTTTTTTGCACAACGAATATTGTAAAGCATGCGAAGAGGAAAAGAAAATGTACAGAAACGGAGATTTTATAACATGTAGCTTACTAAACTTTCGTTCTTTGAAAGAAAGAAAAAAAGAAGACACACTCATTTTGCCGGTATAAGACGTTTAATCGAGTGTTGTGAAAAGTTTGGAAGATAAAAAATGAGTGACTTCGAAGAAGAATTCAGCACTGCATGAAAGACCAATAGTGATTCACCAAAACTTGGAAGAAATCGTGATTACATTTGGGAACATTTTGTGGATAATGGACAAGCAAAAACAGGCGGTCATCGAAAATGCCGTTGCAAGTACTGTTCGAGTCAGTTTAATTACGCCAAAATTATTCTGATGTATCGACATATTGCACAAGAATTTCAAGCCATTTTAGAAGACAACCCACAAGTCCGTAAAGAGGTTATTCGACGTTTATTAACTTTAAATAATCAGGAACAGAGTCCAGAAAAATCAACAAGAAAACGATTGAAAAGGAATATTGGATCATCCTCATCCCAGTCTTCATCATCTAATAGTCGTCAATTACAAATCGATCAGTTTAGTGCTCGTTTGATCCCGCTACAAGAAAAACAAGAAATTGATCGGTCATTATTACGTGCATTCATCATGTGCGGCATATCATTTCAGACAGCGAGCAACATATTTTTCAACGAGTTTCTAAATAAATTGAATTCGATGTATGTGCCACCCGATCGAATGAAACTATCTCGAGACTTATTAATACAAGAAACAATTCTTGTTGAAAGTAAAAATGATGAAATGTTAAACGAAACTCAACATTTAACATTGAATATAGATGGATGGACGGACCAAGCGGGTCATTCATTGTATGAATACAACGTTGGTGAGTATACTCGTCTTTATGTTAAAATTTGCTGATACCATTTGTACCTCTTGCAATAAGATTAGCGCATGGGTATCCAAAAATATCATTTTCAAAAAGAGCTCTCTTGACCTGAATATTACTTTTCTTTTCGTCATGTATGCAGAGTTGAACGTAGCAAACTAAAAGTTTCCTATGTGCGACTGTAGCTTAAACAGCTTAAAGGCTTTCTCCGAGTCACTCTCACTTTTTCGGGCTCAAATTCATAGTTTTTCTCACGTTTTAGTCATAAAACGAGAAAAAATGTTCTTTTGGCGTTTAAAAATCTCAGTGAACTTAATCATACAGCGACATTTTTAATTGATCAATTGGACCATATTCTACAACGTTCGTCAATGACTTCTAATATAGTAAACAAAATTCGTGCAATTGAAACAGACAACCCAAATGTAATGAAAAAAATGAGAGAAACATTTATATCAAAACCGCTTCATCAACATGTTTTATCGCTAAGATGTTTTGGTCATGCCATCAATTTGATTGCGTGTAAGTGTATCGCTAATTTGTCTATGTCTCCCCTTTTATCATTTATTTTTTGCTTTTAGGTGATGTAATTAAACATAATTTTTCGTCAAAATTTTTATCAAAATTATCAACGGTGACAACTTATTTCAATTAATCACACAAATTCAAAGCAATCCTAAAAGCTGAGGCGAAACGAACTCATGTTAGAAAAGAGACATTTGATTCCGTAGGCGATACAAGATGGACGACAGTGGCTGATCGTTTAAAATCGTTTATTTTGTTGAGAAATCCGCTGGAAACAATCATTTGTGCGTATGATGAAGAATTACCACCTAAAGTGTTGGCGGTTGTGAAACAAAAGTTGTTGTATCATGAAACTGACTATTTGTACGGTATTATGCGAGTATTGACTTATTGGTATTATACAGGCTAATTCGGCCTCATTAGCTGATTGTTATTTAGTTTTAATTTACATCACTCGATTAATGTCAAAATTAACAGCGCAAAAGGATACAAAAGAATTTGGACGCTTTGTTAGTAAATCGGTGAACATTCGATTGAAAGCATTTCAAAAAATGATTATTATTTAGTATGTTTTTATTTATATCTAAATATCGTGGTGTCGGTATGTTAACAAAAAGTAGGGAAATTGTTTATCGAACGTTAGTGGAATACAGCAAGAAAATTGAAAATAAGCATCCACTACAAAAAGTGTAGTGAGTTCATTACAACATTATGAAATTAAGCATGGATCATATTCAATAATGTATACAAAACATGACAATCCAACATCATGGTGATTGATGATACACGATGAAATAAATGGGAACAGTCTAAAAAACATAGCATTATAATTATTTTCAATAGTTCCACATGCTGTTATGCCAGAACGTTTATTTTCAATGTTAGATTGGCAAAATACAAAACGAAGAACTAAACTAAATCCATTCACATTGGAAAGTGTATCAAACATTTACACGTATCATAAAAATGCTTTTAATACTGAATCACCTATCGATATGGAAAAAATTGAGGAATGTTTAATGGACGAGTTGAAAGCTACAACAGGAAAAAGTCCAACTACAACCACAAATGTTTTATCAAACAGTTTGCAAACATTTATGCGAACAGTCGACGAGAATCAACGAATTTTATGTGAATTAGCTGGTACCGATAAAATTGACGAACAAAATATTGAAGATAAAGATTTATTAGATTTAACAACAATGATCAACCATGACGATCGAGAATTGACAAAAGTGTTGGCTGATGTTGATCTGGCAGAAGAAGAGAGCAATGGTGGTGAAGGTGATGAAAGTACTCCAACAGAAGCAACCGATGATGACGGTCATAATGACGATTACAACATTGATGATATTCTTCGCCTTCTATTTGTCACAAGCATATAGTCTTTCTTTTCTTCTTATTTAACTGTTGTGCAAATATGTGTAATTTTATACAAAAACGATATAGTTTTGTTCCAAATTGAGTTATAAAAGATTGACTGAATAAAAAAGCTGCAATCTGCCGGCGTTCATTTATAAATCTCAGCCCGACTTATAACTATTTTAAATTTTTTACTAAAAGTTAAAATAGTTATAAATGGTTGGAGTTATAAATATTTATATAGGCCATAGCCGCAAGTAGTTCCCAATATGCCACTCCTAATTGAAAAGCTTTTTGAAAATTAAGTAACCACATAAAATACAAAAAGAAAATTTTCTATGATTAGATCTTTTATGCTAAAGAAGCACTTACTTAATCCAACGGCTACTAATTGGAATAAAATTAAATTTGTTTGATCTCTTCGCCGTTGTCGTTCAAATTGTTTAATTATCTGAGCTTGTTCGCCTACTTGTATTCGTAACTCTTGTAGTTCTGTTTCAACTCGTCGAAGTTTTGACTCAGCGGTAATCACTGTTCGCGAACGTTTAGAAAGAAAAAAACGAGCTCATGGGACATAATTGATAAAGTAGCGTATAAACTCTATGCAGAACGCCACAGGCAAGTAAAAATGACAGGTAATAACTAACTTAGGATTTTTAATAAATAGACGTTGAATAAAATCTTTGGTATGTGAAAAAAATTCTTCATCAAAACGATAATCAACTTGACTAATATTGGCAAATGTTTCTTGATTGGTATTATCCAAAAGTGGTGATGCTCCATCTAAAACAAGTAGTACAATAAAGAAATAAATTTGTCACAACATATAGTGAACATAGCTGAATTTGTTGTTTTAATAAAACTAGTTTAAATGAAATAAATAAATTTTAATATTAACTTACAGGATATACGTGATTACGCCAATACTCCACATATCTGTAGCTAATGTGAGTGGTTCAAATGCGATCACTTCTGGCGCTAGAAAAAAAGTTACAATATGATTACGTTCAATAATGTAAAATGAAATAATATCAATTAAGAGAGAAATAAATAAATCTAATCTTAACTTTAAAGAGTATTTTTCAAAAAATAAGATAAAGATCAAAATATCTATAAGTTTCATGAACCAATCAATAATAATTAGTTTATTTACCAACAAATTCTGGTGTTCCAAATGTTTCTTTGGTTGGTTCATTCGGTTTCAATTGTCCTGAAATTCCAAAATCAATTATTTTTAGATGTATTTTATTCTTTTCTAATAACATAACATTTTCAGGCTAAATACATAGTATTAATAGTAAATTCATTATTTTGTTTCAGAATAAGATCATACTTTCAAATCAAGATGAACAATATGTTTTTTTTCATGCATATGATGAACACTTTCTAATATTTTTAATATAAATGATACGGCTTCTTCTTCTGTTAATGCATCTTTTTAAGCTATATAATGGAATAATTCACCGGCACCAACTCTGAAACAAATAAAAATAAATTTTTAGTAACAAGAACTATAATAGATGACAATATTTACAGTTCGAGAACTAATATAATTTCATGTTTATTTTCAAAGACATCACGTAACGTAATAATATTTCGATGATTTAACTGAGATAATATTTCAGCTTCACGTAATATTTCTTCTCGTTTAAGACCACGTTTACCGACAATACCACGTTTTTTTCCAATAAATTTTGCAGCATAATCAATACCTGAACTTAGTTCTTTAACACGTTTAACCGCAGCAAATTCATCACGACCTAGATCATTCAAAATTTTATAATAATTTTCAAAATCATCTGCTTTAATTATCACCATCTCTTTATTATCTATAATTAAGACAGAAAACAAAAACAACGAGTGGTTTTCAAAATAATTTTTCCAATTGTAATGACTCTCGACTTATTTTTCGTTTTCTACTAAGAGAAAACAAAGTGAACTATATCTGTTTTGGAAATATCAATTTTTATAATATTTTTTTAAACTAACACTATTCAATACACTTATGTTAGGAAATAATGAACATTTTTTATTTAGCAAGTAATCATCCAATAATGCAAAATAAAATAAAAAATTTTTTGATAATTCTTTTCGGAATTTCTATTGTCAAATAAATCGAGTAACACAAATTGTACATTGGCGCAAATCTCATCAAAAATTCATATTATTGTACACACACACACATTACAGGCTAATACAAATAGAAAAGGAAAACAGAAAATAGTTACAATTGGTCTTTCATCAATTTGAGTTCATGATGGAAATGAATTACAAAATAATTCAAAATTTATACATATATGACATATGTAAAACTGTAACGTACTATGTGGTACTATCAGGACTGTAGGGTACTATAAGGTTCTTTAAGGTATTATGAGGCACTATCAGATACTCTCATCCTCACCCACCCTCGCCCACCCTTACCCTCACCTTATACTACCTTATAGTACCTGACAAGAAGAATTCAAATTAATAGGATTCGACAACAGAATTCGAATTATTTTACAATTTATTTTCTGAATTACTTTGTAATTGATTTCCGTCATCCAGTGATCAATTTGACACTATGATGTACAATTTTATTTCATGATGAGACATAAATTGTTTCGTCCATCACTTGCTTGTTATTACCAAATAAAAAAAAAAATTCCTATTCTTATCATTTTTATGTTATGTTATGTTAACCATAAGTTTGATTTAGCAATATAGTAATTTTTCTTTCAAATGTCATCCTTTTCATCAGAGTGTTCTTTAATTCACTTTTTTCTCCAGAATATAATTCGTATAAACCACAATAAATAAAAAAACAGGAAAAGAAGTGGACGTGACTGTTTGTAGTCGGATATAATGTAAGGCGCCGGTAATTCAAAATTTCAGCACTTTTTATTTTTGGTTTAACACACATATTCGGATTCGTTGTATGCTGCTGACCCCGAATCTGGCCTTATTTTTTGATTTAAACAAAGTTTTCACGGAGAAAAATGGAAAATACTGACAAACTGTCAAAAACTCGAAAAATCTATGTTTTCCGAAAAATTGCCCCAAAAATTTTGCT